ACTCCCTCCTCCTCCTATTTTCCCCACAGCAACAACCCTGTGAGGTGGGTTGGGCTGAGAGAGAGGGACTGGCCCAAAGTCATGCCTTAAGGTGAGACTAGAACTCAGTCTCCTGTTTTCTAGTCTGGTGCCTTCACTACTAGACCAAACTGCTAGAAATCCTGCTAAGATACATCTCCCCAAAAGCAGCTTCTGAAAGAAGGGCCAACTGGGGAAAGGTCACTAACAGACACCGAAGGACAGGGCAGTTGACTGACAATCTTGGTTTTCTTAGTTTTTTTTTTAAATCAGCATTGCTGCTTCTTTCCTGCCTAGCAAATACAGCTTGTTCCCATGAAGCATCCACAGTCTTTCTTGGTGTATAAGATCCTTATACTCAGATCTCTGTAGGGGTGATGAATGACTTCTTTGGGGGGAGGCAGCCCCCCTAATTACTCCATGCACAAAATAGTGAGATGGAATTAGAAAGAAGATGTATGACTAGTTTAAGATGAATATTTACAGGTATGAATATTCTGTTCTCACAAGAACAGCTCTGCTGGATCAGACCAATTTTGTCCAGCTTTCACTGTCACACTGTAGCCAACCAGATACATTATGGACATTTTCAAGCAAAACATGAATGATGGCTATCTTCCATTGTTGTTTCAGCACAACTAGTATTTAAGATATGGTATCTTCCATGGAGTTGATTCCCACCAAGACTAGAAGATATGAATAGCCCTACTGTTGATGAACCTACCTAGACCTTTTTCAAAGCCATGACACCTTTCCAAGGTGTAAAGAAACACTTCATTTTATCAGTCATGAATCTCAATGCATTTAACCCAGATGAGTCTGGGTTCTGATATTGGGAATGGAGAACTCTTTCATGCATTTGATGATGTCATGCGCAATTGCATATATCCTACATCCCCCAACATACACTGACTAGTTTTCCTTCTAAGATCTGGCACAATTCCTCCCCTTTGGAACCTGACTTTTTCACCTTCCTTTCAAGGTAGCTGATGGACTGAGGGCCAACGCTCTAACCAGGAACCAAGTAGATATCTTCCCTGCTGCTGATCTGCTGGGACCCAAAGATACATGAGAGGAAGTTGCATAAATCTTGAATAAGAAGCCCATCTGACACCACCTCTACTTTTACAATCACAAGTAATCTTGTGGATTTCTAGCTACCTGACATATCCCATGAATTTGTCACTGTAGATCTGTCTTGTTTATTTGCAGAAACCCTCTATTGCTTTTCACTTACCTTTTTCTGTTGAAAGGCAAACATATGGAAATATCCCCAGGATTGGATTAGGACTGGAGTTCAAACAAACCCCTCATTGGAAAGAAAGTTTTCTGGGTGAGCTTGGGGCAATCACCAACACAGCTTGAACTATCTCACAGGACAGTGAGAATAAAATCTGCAGGGAGAGTTAGGTTCTTTCAACCAAAGGCGGGGCTTACTAAATTAATAATATAATACTGCTTTTTCTTCCTCACTTGCTCCCACCCCCCACCCCATTTAATTTTAATTTAAACATAACATAAACACACCATTTTTAGTCCCAATATGTCCCAAATGAATCTAAGATGCAACCTTGGCCCAAGTGCTTAAATCTTGAGAATGCTTTCATGTCAGAAACACCAAAGCCAGCAAGACAATACAATGTTTGGTTTGGGGGTTAAGGTTAGGGTTGAATTACCAATACAGATATAACCTACAAGGTGAATTAGATTTCCAGCCTTTCAGTAAGCAGTTGGTCCACATCAACCTTCAGGTAGCAGGACACCAGACTTGGTGCTCATGGTAAGACCCTTGCAGGTTCTTCCCTGCATTGGGGACAGTAAGGGCTAAACTGTACATATTATCCTTCTCCTAATTAGTACTGATAAGATAATTAGGAGGGGGGAAATGGGCAGTCAGGTTAAAGGACTTATTGTCCTCTGCAGCTGAATCAGGTTGGGAACTTTGTGTACTGCAACTTCCATTTACAGAAAAGCTTTTACTTGTACCATGGAAAGTTTTTCATCCAGGACAAATAGCAGGCATGGAGATCTGAACTAGAAATACCCCAGCATCCAGTCTCAAAAGAAACATCACTCTGTGAGAAGCTCTGTTGCTGGAATGCAGTGCAGAAGGAAATGCCAACAGAACTGGGGTTGCTTTGAGTAGGGCTAAATGGCTAACAAGTATTCCTTTAAACCAGGGGTCCCCAAACTCTTTAGCTCATCAGCCGCAGCACGAAGTTTCAGATTGTTCATCGATACCAAACATTGATATTGACCACTTTGGAGAACTCTGCTTTAAATATATCCAGTTCCATAAGATGGCATTCTCAGAAGAAGGCATAATATGCTAAGCATTTTGGGGAGCAAGGAGAGGGGTGTAGAGCTGTATATATTCTACTGTTGCACAACTACACTAGTTTTTGCTGGTGTCAGCATTTGAAGGGTCTTCCATCTTTCACTTTTAAAAAAAATAAACAGGTTTTACTCTTAATGACTAAAGATAGTTTTAAAGTATAATCATCTGAACTAGAAATCCCCCAGCATCCAGTCTCAAAAGAAACATCACTCTGTGAGAAGCTCTGTTGCTGGAATGCAGTGATTAATCTTGTATATTCTTAGAAGCCAAAAGGAGGAGCATTTTTTTTTTCTAGTAATAATGGGGGCCTTAAAACTGTCTCTGTCTTTTCAGCAGAAGCAGAGTAAAACAAAGGTAGGTTAAGTAGAGACCCATATGTTTACTTTGCCCAGTTTACACAATTTTGTTTCACTTGGCAGAATCAGAACTTATTCATGTACAGTATTTTCTCCACCCTTTTTTAATGCCAAATAAACTAAGTTCCGGGTATAATATTTAGGTAATTGTTCTAAGAATATTGCTGTCTGTATTATCACAATTCCCCAGAAGAAGCAGGAGTAAAATCAGCTTCAGGACATCTGTGCAGGACAAGCAAATTAGCACTGCTTTTGAATGCACACGAATCCACTTCTGTATAATTTGAACATATGTGTACCTCAGTAGGCTGATAGCCAATGTTAAACCCACCCACATGGACCCTCAGGTTCTGGATGCATCTCCCACTAGATCACCAAGAAAAAGCTTCTTCTATGAAGATTCCTGAGTTCCTTGTGGGTAAACAAGCAAGCCTGGCTGGAGAATTCTGGAAGCTGAAGTCCACCCATCTGAAAGTTGCCAAGGTTGAGAAACACTGATCTATCAACCTGCATAGCCAGACACTGGCCCTTGTCTACAACAATGGGTCAGCGGAACCCAGTAGCTGTCTTTGCAAACAGCAGAGCCCAAAATCAGAGGCACAGGATAGATCAGTGTTTCTCAACCTTGGCAACCTTCAGTGGGGTGGAGAACAGATGCCCAAAAATGAATTCTGCCATGCCGACATTGTTTGACCTGTGGTGGAGATCGGAAGA